TGATCTTTCATTTGAACAAGGGACCCTCAGACAGCATTGCCCTGGAGGAAGGGAGGAGGGCTAGACTACAGCTTCAGGAATTACAAATCATTGCTGCTAGTGAAATAAATATTCATCACGCACTGGTCTCCTTTATCCTACTCCTCCTGCTTTAGGACGGCGTTACCTCCAGTGGGAACTTTTGAAGAAAAGCTGAGCACAGACATAATCCACATTGTATCTCCAAATTACCAACTCGTTTGTGTGACCTTGAAATTTCCCCTGGACTCTGGGGACAGATGCACAGCTGGTGAAGCTCCCACAGCTACCTCAGCAGGGCTTTGGCTGAGGATTTCAGCCCTGAAACCTAACGTCAGATCTAGTCAGTACCTATATATAGAAAAGAAAACCACTTAACTGTGGTGTGAAGTTTAATTGCAAGAAGAGAAGTAACAGGTGCTACAGACGACCCAAATACCTGACCCCTCCTGTCGCGGCTCCCAGCCCTCGCAGCTCTCTGAAGTCTCACCTTTACCTGCCCCAGGCCAGTGCATGTACAGAGTTTCTGCTAAGAGTTAAATCCAGTTTTGCTGAGGTGCCCCGGAGGGCTTGCCACATACCTGACATATTTCCATTTCTGACAACTTTGCCTTGAAGACATTTGTTGACCTCTTGGGTTGTAAAAGACCAAGGTCGCCTTTGGGCTAAAAGAATCCCAAAGCAAACCAGAGTTTTCCCAAGCTACCAGCTTCAGAGAGATGGGGCATTTATGCTTTTCTTTTTTGCTTAGTTATTTCATCTTTTTTTATATGCTTCTTTCAATCCACACTAGGTACAAAGTGTTAACGAGAGACTCTGAAGAGATGCAGAAGAGACAGCAGAGCTGCAAAGATGTTGATATAAGCTTTATAGATTTTAAGGTCAAAAGGGATCTTGTGACCTGCCTGGCTCCCTTCCATATCACACAAGCCACAGAAGGGTGGTCAGTCATTTCTGCATCAAAATGCTGCCTTGAAAGGAGGGTCTTTGTTCCCTAAGCTGTGGTTTATTTAAATAGGCTTCACCTACATGTGAGTAGAGCCCTGATCTAGGCTGCCTGCTGCAAAAGGCTTTCTTAGGAGTTATCCATCAGCACTAAAAAAACATCTCTGAGCCAGTCTCAGGTGTGCCCAGAGTGTTTATTAGCTAATGGCAATGCTTAAACACACAGAGAAGCATGGTGTCCTTCCTCACTGTCCTGGCAGACAAACACTACCTGGGGCCACTGGAATGGAATTGTTTGGATTTGAAACTCTGTCTTTCAGCTGAGAAGTGGGGGGAGCGTGCCTGGGCCATCAGAAAGGAGGCTACAGTTTTGCTGTGGACCAAGGCTTCCCATATCCCTTCCACAAGCAGTTTGTACCTTTGCTTCCTCGTGGATGTTCCACACGAAGGACAGTGCATTGTAGGCTAACTCCTCGATGTTCTGCACTGTGTTGAAGTTTTCTTTACAGTCAGCTGAAATGCAATAGAGAAGCAGTTTATACTCTGGCTGCAGAACTGGTTACGTTCCCGAGGCTTTCCACTCCCCAAAAGCCTACCTCTCACTGCGTCCAAGGTTAAAAGAAGACTTGTAATATAACAGAGGCCATCCTTGATACCACTGGATAAACCTTAGTGTGCATATGTAAGGGATAGGCCAGAAATTACTCAAAGATATTGGCTGGTAACTGCTATTTGAGTAGTGATGTTATGCAAAGTCAATGTAGATTGCTTCTAAATTTAAACAACTGTGTGTCTTGCTTTAAGCCGCAAGGTGCTCAGTGAGGTGCTCAGCTGAATGGACAAAACCTTTGTCTGGCCCAGCATAACACACTATAAAGCCTGTGTGGTGGCAGTGGAGAAGGACAAGCAGTACCAAAGCCTTTTCTAGCCCAGATTCCTAGACTCCAAGAGGCCATAGGTCACATCTGTAAGAGCCAAAATAGTTCAAGCAGTTTCTGTGTCTCTGACTGAGGCTCTTCTTTGATGTATCTTGGGCTTCTAGCGCATGTCCCTACACTTGGCAAACACCATCTTAAACCTGCAAGAGCTCCTCAGCCAGAAAGGATCTGAAGCCAGCAGATCAGCCTGCTCCTCCCTGCTTTCCCCCAGGCCAGATTCTGAAGCTTCAACTGTGGTATTGTGTATTGGAAATGCAGTAAAATGGTGCTAGAAGTTATCAACCCCACCCAGCCATCGCAATCAGACAGCCCCACTCATACCAACGTCAATGACCCTCTGCTTGGCCGTGGGCTGGCGGGAATGCCAGTGCTTCCAGAACTTGAGCTGCTCCGTCGGGATCTTTTCGTTGTCAAAAACAATCATCACAACACTCTGTAACACAGCGAGGATATCCCATATTAGTATACACAGCAGGCTAACGCTTGGTGCCCTCATTGCCCTTTCCAGCCAGTGCATCCACTGGCCAAGGGCAGCCTAGTGTCATTGTTAATGTTTTATTGCTGGGGAAACTGAGGCGGGCAAGGGAAGGGACTTGAACACGGTCATGCGGTCAGGCAGCAACAGAGCCAGGAGCAAAACTGAGATGCCCTGTATGCCCCCTAATTGCACTGCCCATGAGTTCCCACTGACTCCAAGGCATACAAGAATCCTGCGTTAGAGGAATGTTAGCAGTGCTGTAGCAAGTATTAGGCTGGGACAGCCTAAAAGATCTTTTTCTAGACATTCTCAGTTTCAGGAATCCTGTAAGTCTTGAGATATCCGAAGTCTAGCCCCTAAATACAGCTCAGGATAGGAGGACCAGGTTTCTCTGCTGAGAATTCAAGCTCAGCTTAGTCTCAGGGGTGGCTCTGAGGCCTGGCCACGCATCTCGGGAGCAAGACGGGGAACCTCTCTCTAGCTCAGAAGTCTTCCCACCAGGGCCCCCAGCCAGCCATCAGCTAGGGAGGCCTTTTGTGCATCCCTGACCTTACTGTGAAAGGTTTCAACTGCCAGGTAACATGAAGGCTGTTGCTGTGCATCAGAGGATTAGCTTGCTACGAGTGAATCCATCCCATTCATCGCTTTAAGCCAACATGAGCCACAAAGCCATTACTCTTCATGTTCAGCTCTGTTCCCAGGCCAGTACAATTCCTGGATGTCTGATTACAGCATGTGTCAGCAAAATTGTCAGCTTGTCTCTTACCTTCACTTTATTTGAGGACAAGTGTAAACATTTGCTGTCTCCAGCTGTCCGCAGCGTGATGGGGTAGAACTGTCCTTTGTTGAGGTAGGCCATGGGAGAGTCCCCAGATTTGATGTGAATGGCTTTGGGTGACCCCAGAGTGTATTCAAAGTCACTTGTATGGAACAAAGAGAGAATGATGAATAAGCACACGCTGCTGTTTCACCCCAAAAGCAAAACAAGAGACATGCAGGTCTCCATCCCTACAGGTTACAGACACTGTACACACAGGAGTCTCTGCCCTATTCCCCATCTCACACGCCCCTACAGTTGTGATCAAGCACCTCCCAGCACAGCACATGCTGATCGTCCTCAACACCCTAGGGAGCAGCAGTTCCTGGATATCCTCATTTTACCCTTTGATTTTGGCTTTAAAAACCCTGTACATTATTGTAACCAGTATTTTTCTGTGGATGGCTACAGAACCATTGCACAATCAAAAGCCTAAACCAAAACAAACAAAAATAGGTACCTGTGATGAGACTTTTAAAACATCCTAAACTCAGATTCCTGTCTCCAAATTCACACCCAAAAATGGCTGACCCAGGAAAACTATGTCCTAATGGGTCCTGTAGAAACAGGAGGACCTGCAGGACACTGACATCTGCTTGTTTATCCAGGTGCTTAAAAATGGACTTAGAAGCCCAGCTTGTTGAACTCTCAGTCTGGTGGGCAGCAACTTTAGTCTTTACAGGAAAGATTTGTAGTGTTACACAGAGGAAGGTGTCACTGCTGACAAGCAAATTTAAAAGAAGAGCCTGATTTTCAAGAGGCCCTGCTCTTGGGCATTCACCAGCACCTATGAGCATTCAAACCATGAGGCTATAGCTCAAGCTATTTTCCTCTGTGAGGAATCTGTGCAAGCCACCACCTGTACACAAGCCTTCACACAGACCCTTCAAGTGCCCTGCAGTTGAAGATCGTCGTATTCCTATTTAGTCACCAACCCATCTCTTTTTCCTGCTCCACCTCCCCTGTGATGCCATCTCTGAAGATAGGCTTGGCAACTCCTCTTATCTAGAGCCAGGAGAGCCAGAGAACTTTAGTGCACAAATAAACAGCAAACAGAAAGGCTCTCACTCACGAACACGAGCTGCTGTCTGTGTGAAAATCCCCACATCTGACAGCTGAGTCACAGAGTCAGGTGACTCAGGAGGCAAATAAAAAGTGGGAGGTGGAATAATGTTTGATGCAGTATCTAGAGCAGGAAAGCGCTGCCTGAGAGAAGGGTAGAAAGGAGGAAGAAATCTATCTCATGTTTTAGGAATGACAGGCAGTGGCACCTTCTAAAATCAAGGTTGACTAACAGTGCTAAACCCAAAGTAAGAACCTAAACCTTAGATTAGGAGGAGGCTGCTTATCACCCTCATCAACTGTCATCCTCATTTTCTCTGGCATTTACCCCACTCCAAGTAGCTTGTGGAAAGATAGTGCAGCCACCCGGCTCTATCTGTAGCACGGGAACCAAGCAGTGCTCCCTGGGAAGGGGCTGTAATGCGCAGCAAACCCTCACACAGAAGACCTCAGTGCCACATCTCCCCTTGCGCAGGTCAGGGTGCTGATGAGATGCGACCAGAGCAGTGGAAGCAGTCGGCACTGGATTTGCACCAGTTTGGCCAACAGAATACAGTCTGAACTACGCACCTCTCAAGCTAAAAACACGAACTGGTACAACTCCGTCTAGTAACTTGAATTTAGGATTGGGTTTGACCCTTTTTCGGCAAAACATTTCAAACCTTAATCCCTGCTTCCTACTACAAACACTAAAATTCATCGCTGCTTTGTGTCTAAAAAGCCATGGAACAGCAACTTGCTCCTAAGACACCAGGGGGACACAACTTATCTCTGCAAAAGCATGAGATCGATAAGTTTGCAATGGTCATTGTCAAGACTGGCATTGGGGCGAGGAAAG